TAGTCATAGTGTCACGGTCTGGGAACCGGGGAACTGGTGCACGAGAGCTCCGGGTTTTGTGGAGCAGGTTTAGAGTAGCAAGCTGGAGTGAAGCCTGGGGTACAGGGCAGAGGACGCAGAAACTAGGGCTCTGTGTGTTATCAGGGAGGCACTAGAGGCACAGGATCTAAGAAGGGAGAGCGCCTCTAATGGTGAGGATGATTGGCTGATGGACACCTTCCAGGTTGCTGCCCTCTAGTGCACAGACTCAGGAACTGATGCAGCATCGGGGCTCTGGACGCAAGGCAGACAGGGGCAAGGCCTGTACACTAGGGTTGCCACCTTTTCTTCAAGTGCGACCCAAACATTCTAGTGACACAGCAACATTTTTTTGGGGGAGAATGATTAATTGCTTATTTGTATGTAAATAGTGCCACCCATTCATATGTAAATATCACAGTTGAGACCATTTTCAGTGGGGGGCCAGTAGCCCCTATCTTAATTTTGGTTGCCCCTGTCTGCCTGACATCTTGTGTCTGGGTTTCTGCTGCCATGAAACCCGAACACAGCATTCAAAAACCGGGCTGTCCGGGTGAATCCGGGACAGGTGGCAACCCTAGGGTTGCCACCTGTCCCGGATTTACCTGGACAGTCCAGGTTTTGAGTCCTGTATGTGCTGTGTCGGAGTTTCAGCTGGCCTGAAGTTAGAAACAGGACATACAGGACTCCAAACCCGGACTATCCAGGACAGGTGACAACCCTAGCGTACACACACAGCAGTTCAGGATACAGAGGGACACAGGAGCAGGAGTCCAAACAACAGTGGGAAGGGAACACAAGAAGACAGCGGAGAGACAGCACAACACGGGACATAACAGAGGAGCGAGGCTGCAAGGACAAACAGCCACACAGGAGGAAGACAAACTCACAGGAAGCAGGAACTCACAGGAGACACAAGACACAAAGCAGGTGAATGTCACTTCGCAGGTATCCAAAGCAACTAGTACACAGGAGGTCCGGTAATGACTTGTCGTTCAAACATCAGGCAACAAGTGAGCTGAACATTTAAGACTGAGCATGGATAGGCAGGGAGCTGAGCACCTGGGACAGAAGGCAAAACCCGGCACCGGATCATGGCACAGTGAAGTGTGACACATAGCATGGTTGGCACATATTATACAACCCCCCCCCCCCCCACCCCCCCCCCCCCCACCACCACAAAATATGTTCATGTGATTGGCTTTGATTTCAAAAACAACAGATACACAACACACATGTTAAAACACTATAAATAAAAAAAGCAAGTTTCTCATACAAAGGGGTCTAATTTATAAACAATTTGCAGGGCCCTCCGCCTTGTGAATATCTGCGAATGTTTGTTTAGTGCAAATAATGACAAAAACAAATGTATTGTAATCTAATTCTGAATTATGGCCACTAGATGGAGTTGAGGAGCCTGGCAGCACTGGGGGGTCCCAGGTTCGGATCCCGGTCAGGACACTATCTGCAAGGAGTTTGTATTCTCTCTCTGTTCTTGCGTGGATTTCCTCTGGTTACTCCAGTTTCCCCCCACACGACAAAGACATGCTGGAAGGTTGACTGGCTCCTGTCTAAATTGGCCCTGTATGTGTGTGCAATAGGGACCTTCGATTGTAAGTTCCTTTAGGACAGGGACTGATGTGAATGTGCACTATGTATAATGCATAAATTGTTGGCGCTATATATAGGGACCTTAGATTGTAAGGCCCTTGAGAGCAGGGACTGATGTGAATTTGCAGTATGCAAAGCACTGCATAAATTGTTGGTACTATATAAATATATGGACCCATAATAATAGGAACCTTAGATTGTAAGTTCCTTGAGGGTAGGGACTGATGTGAATGTGCAACTATATAAAGTGCTCGGCAAATTGCTGGCGCTATATAAATACATGTAATAAATAAAATAGGAAAAAAACATATTTATTACCTATGCTCCTCCGCTCCATCTAGTGGCCATAATTCAGTATTACATCACAATACATTCGACCTGAAAAGAAAAATATATTAAGAACGATCCTCATTTGTCTTTATTCGCACAAAACCAAAATTCACAAATATTGGCAGGGTGACGGGCCATGAAAATTGTTTATAGACAAACCATTATGTGTTCTAAGCAGCAAGCAATACATCTATATCTGTTTAATGAACTGTAATAGATCCTATATCGCAACCTACCATAAACCTACCAACAGCTGGGAATTCACCAGTCGTCACCCCGATCACGCGGTCTGAGCTATCCCGGTGGGTGAGTTTATTAGCACAAAAAGGAATTGATCGTCTAATGAGTTTTCAATGGTGAAGATAACGGTGTGTCTACTCACATCTCCAATGCAGAGGTTACCCCGACCATGCTATTCAGAGGAGTAAGCAACAGGCAATGTTTAGGACTCTTGTTTGGAAAGGGTAATAAACCAAAAGATTGTCTCTACCCACATTTGTGACCATTTTTTCAAAAGAAAATGGACAGATAGTAGGAATCATTCAAATAAATCTTTCAGTCCTTGATGGATGACAGAATTTCGGATATAGTAAAAGGAGGCTGTACATTTTCCAGCAGGAAAAGGAACCCCCATATGCTGGGATCACCTTTCTGACACACATTTTCTTCTTTTATTGGTTCTTTTCCAGCTTGAATGGGCTCACTGGGCCCCGAATGGGCTAAATGATAGGTGTCATTTATATCACCTTGCCTTTTATTTTTAAGACTCACCCCTATGAGGACCAGAATGGAACACCTTAATACCAGGAGCCCTTTATATAAAAGTTGTAGTAGGTATTGTAGCAGTGGTATTTTGCCCCCATGCCATAATCATCAACTTTCTGAAGTCGGATAGAGCGTGGGTCCTTTCATCCCAAATGTTTTATAAAGGGTGTATTCACCTGGCAGACCTTCAGTAATTTAAAGCCTATCTCTGGACACCAAAAAACCCTCCACTTACAGTGGGACTAGCTCCGCACTGCAAGGGTTAACTGCTCATTTTTTTTAAATAGAGCTTTAAAGCACTTTTACCATAGTCCTGCATTATATGTGAGGACAAAGAGGGGATAGTCCACAGCTGGAGAGAAGAGAGGTGAGGGACAACCACCAGGGGAGTTGTTTTATGGCCTTACAGACAGGTTTTATGGCCTTACAGACAGGTTTTATGGCCTTACAAGCTTTGCTTATTGGAGAACTGTTGGTTTGGCTCAGCAGGGAGTGCACCAGACCTTTGCAGAGAGACTGCTGCTTCCGCACAGAGGGCAAAGGTCCCTCTCTGCAGCATGCTGGCAGGGGACAGACTTTTCTACTCACCTTTGGTTTTGATGCACCTGGTATGCATATAGCTGAATTAAACTCTACATTCAGTTGCACCTTGCCCGTGCTAACATCTTTTTCTGAGTTTTGGATCTTCTGCCACCTTGTTTGGTTGGAATAACGTAACTCTTGCCCATGTGCATGGCAGTTCAATTATTCCAGTTCCAAGATGGTTTTCTGTTGAGAATCCACCATGACAGGTAAAACTGAATAGGGGACGAAAAAAGTAGGGGGTGTTCCCCTTTACGAACTACTTTAAATATATATGCGGCTTTATAAGTACTAGGTGTCACACCTGTTATTATTATTAAAAGATTCACATGTAAATATGTCTCCATTTCCGTGCTCTTAGACTGCACAGCACAAAGAGGATCCCGAGAAACAAAGAACTTGTATGATTAGCTAAATGGCCCCAGAAAAATGGCCGCCGGAGGGAAGCAGGACTACACTGGACACTCCGTGCTCTAGTGACCGCTATGTTTGCTCAGTTCTATAAACAATGACGAGCTATAGAGGCAGCCGCTAGGTTACACGTGTACCCAACAGCCAATCAGCAGCCTCCACATGAGGACACATCACCGCCTAAGCAGACAGCTGTCAGAGAGGCCCCGGACACCCCAACAATATAGGTGCCCTCGCAGATGCCTGATTTAAAACATAAATAACAGGAACACATGATCATTGTAGTGTCCTCACACTGGCTACAATGATCTGCATGTCCTGCTGAATAACATTACACCGTCATTGGAGTTAGTTACATTGAATATCATTTGCAGCGCTTCCAGAAATGTAGATTGGATTGGAATCTTTCTTATTTATTATACTGAATTAAAACTAGACATAAATGTAGGGACTGCTGAGCAGAACTACAAATCCCAGCATGCCAGGTATTAGATCATAGACAGATCTGATCAGCTGGGGGCTCAGAGCAGACACAGAGCCGCTTCAATGAACCGGTCAGTATGGCTGACACCTTTGTATCCCCCATGGCTCTGATACAGTGACACATCTGCCAATTGCCTGGCTGCCTATGCCAGCTCTGAGCCCCTGACCTGAAACAAGCAGGCAGCCAATGCTATCAGATTGAAGCCAGCAGTCCATATTGGTTCCTGATCAGTGACCTATCAGGAATAGGGTTGCCACCTGTCCAGGATTCACCCGGACAGTCCGGGTTTTGAATGCTGTATCCGGGTTTCATGGCTGCAGGAACCCGGACACAAGATGTCAGGCAGACAGGGGGCAACCAAAATTAAGATAGGGGCTACTGGCACCCCACTGAAAATACTCTTGACTGTGATATTTACATATGAATGGGCGGCACTATTTACATATGAATGGGCCGCAACTCATTCTCCCCCAAAAATATCCGTGCGTCGCTAGCGTGCTCGGGTTTCGCGAGAAGAAAAGGTGGCAACCCTAATCAGGAATGCACACAGAGGATCAGCATGACTCCATTCTCGTTCCTGATTAGTGACCTATCAGGAATGCACACAGAGGATCAGCATGACTCCATACTGGTTCCTGATCAGTGACCTATCAAGAATGCACACAGAGGATCAGCATGACGTCATACTTGTTTCTGATTAGTGACAAATATGAAACGAAGACAAAGGATCGTTGTGACTCCATACTGGTGTCATACCAAGTATCAACACAAAAAGGATCATTATGAGTCCATACTTGTCTCTGATCAGTGACCTATCATGAATGTACACAGAGGATCAGCATGACTCAGTACTTGTCTCTGATCAGAGACCTATCAGAAATGTACACAGATCAGCATGACAGCCAGGCAAGCAGCATTTTTCAGAAGGAGAACTCATCAGCATCCTATTTCTCTGAGAACAGGTTCCCTTTAATTGACACTACACCTAAACTGTATTGGGTGTAGCAACATGGCGCCCCATTAATGTTTGAGTGTCCCAACATGGCGGCTTATCTCACTCCAGCTAATCATTGACCTGCTCAGGTGAAATGTAGGGAGAGTGTTGTTATCAGTGAACATTTTTTTCTTTCTGTCAGGTGTCACCCAAGTCTTCCTGTTTCTGCAGATCAGGCAGTGCGAAGGACTGCCCTGGCCGGGGTCCTTCCTTGGTCCCGTCGCACAGTGGGTGTATGAGGTCCCCGGTGGAGAGAGATGTGCGCCTGGAGGTGCCGGTGACAGCTGGAGGAGAGATGGAGACAGGAGGAGGAGTGCTGGGGCCCGGGGGGCTGAGGCTGCTGGCCTGCTTCCTGGGGGTGTTCGTCTGCTACTTCTACTATGGCATCCTACAGGAGACCATGTGAGTGTTATATGAGCTGTGTGTGATTGGGGGACCCCCCTCTGTGTGGGGGGCAGCCAGGGTTATATATAGACACACTGGGCCTGCCAGGGATCACACTGCTCTGATATTACACAGCTCATAGTCCTGGGGTCACAGAGCTGGGGGACATCCACTTCCTGTCCTTACAATATCTGGGATTTATTTATTGCCATTTATCATTTTTTATGCATTTTTTATGATCAATTG